GTCGCCATATGACGTTCCAGATCTTGTTTACGGAGGTACGCCCCCCGCAGAGACGACATGTGTGGTTGCGCGGACGCGGGGTGTGGATGCGTGTGTGGGCGGAGAGGGATGCGCGGGTTGTGAAGCGTTTGTTGTCGATGGGGCAGATGAAGCGGCGGGACATGTAGGATGAGAGGGATGGGAGGTGGCGGGGGGCGATTTTGGGTGGAAGAGGTGTGCTTGTTGTTGTGGGTGGTGTGGGAGATGGTTTTGTGGGTGGGGAGGGGGAGAACGGGGGTTCGGTGGAAGTAGGTGACCGGACATGGGTGTGCCGCTCTTCGTGTGCTTCTTGAGACGTGGGAATATGTTGAGGAGAGATGGATGTCAAAGGTAAACACGGCGTCGGAGGTGTCATCGTCATCAGTTCCAACAAGGCATCCATGGTCGACGCCTCTGACCCTTTAATGTCCGTCGCACTGATATTCGGTGACGGCCAATCAGCAGTCATCCCGTTCTCACGCGGAAATAAAGGGGAGTATTGTTCCTCTTTAATGATATCGGGCGTGAGCGGACCGTGGCTCAACGTGGAAGAAGGCGTCAACATCCCAAACGAGTGTGACTCGGCGGGCGCAGCGGCGGGCAAACTCCTGGGACTAAACGTAAGCGGAAGCATGGGCGGGTACTCTTGCGCAAACCAGGTGCAGTACTCGTCTTGTAAGACCTTACTGGGCAACTCAACCTGTCGCGTGATGCCGCTTTCGTTGTTGAAAGGCGCGTGATGTGTGTAGACAGCACCTGAGAAGGAAGACCGCCGCTGCGTATCGAGTGAATCCACATAAGTGTACGAAACCGGTGTGCCGTCAATGCCGCTCCTCAAAGTCGGTGAGAAAATGTCTCTAAACGGCTGCTGCTGCTGCTCTTTGGACATCAAGGCATCGAGATCATCGATGGACGCCGAGGAGTTGATCGACTCTGGCGGCGTAAGCATTGTGGATGGCATCGGGTATTTCAGAGCGCGAGACAGGTACGAAGCGGGACATGGCTCATGTGGGGCGAACAGGAGCCAGTTGTACGCTGGAGGCGGGGTCGAGTAGTAAGACATGTACAAGGTATCGCACTTGGCTTGGTCCATTGCTGTTGCTGCTACAGACATGTTTCACAATCTACTTTATAAGTGTCGGGCGTCTAGTTCTATCGTCGTCTTTTTCCTATGACGGTGAGATGTATATCCCAGGAAGCCGAGGAAACGTCTATTAAGATCAGCGGACTTTATAGGCGAGGCATGATCTCTTTGTCCGAACCCGGGAGAAACGGATGGTGGTTTTGATCCAAAAAAGAAAACGTGAGAACAAAATGGCTCAAATACGGACCGGAATTATGAATGGTGACGGACGTAAAGACGGCCGTCCGCCGTCAAACATTTGAAGTATCCGACAATCATTTGAATTTGGATGCGCTGTCTCGAGCCAAACGTTGCTTTCTTACTCAGTGGCTCTGAATTTGAAGTACGTCGCGCGGTGTGAATCATGAGCGTGGGAAAATCGACGGTAGCAGTCGAACCTGGTGGAATCGACCTTGCAAATCATAACGTGAGATGTGGTGACGGTAATGGTTAGTCCTCATTGCAAATTCATTCATTCATTCATTCGGGCAGTTGCTAGTGTGTGCTCCTGCGCTGAGGGACTTAAGTACGTTTATGTACATATATACAAGTCCGACAACTCGTCATACTCTCCATTTACTTTGAGCATCGACACGAACTTAAAATTAAGCCATGTCCTGAGTACGCATGTCGATCATGAGATCTGGTCAAGATCAATTATCAACTGCGAATGGACACGGCCGCGTTCCCGATCTTCACCTCTCGTCTCCACCTAGCTTCAAATTCAGGGTTCTGAAAATCACCACATGCACATCCCGCATCCGATCCAGGATCCAAACCCATCCAACCCGCTGCGGCAGATGTGAGTCCATCCAATTACTCATAAACCGTGCCGCAAGTCCAATCAAAGGGATGGATACCCAATTCAAATGATGACGGACCACACAGCAAAAAGGTCTGATTCATTAACGACAAACGTTTTTCCAAAGACAAACAAATTCAAATGGCCCAAATTCAAACACGGATGGATAGCACCTAGCAATTGCTCATGCGCAATGCGGGGCGTGACTCGCTCTAGATCCCATGAGTTGGCGTATACATATACATGTATTACATCACGACGCCATGTGCATGTTGCATAATATTAAAATTAATTATCAATTCCAAGATCAAGGCAAGCGTACTTTGCATGTGCAACGGCAGGTTGGGGCGTCAGTGTCCGCGGCGTTTGCCACACTGGGTTCATGTATATACCCGATGGAGCATGATGTCATGACCCGCTTACGTGAGCGAGAACACGTCAGATTCCGCCCCTGCGCGCGCGTGCAGAGCAGAGCCGAACCTCCGTGACAGGAAAGGCCGTTAAAATCAAGAAGGTCAAAGCTGCCAAAATGTGACAGCGAATGGCAACAAGAAACCAACAAGGAAAACAAGAGCGAGAGGAATCTACGAACATGGCGTTGAATGAAGCCGATGACCAGGAAACAGTCGCCGTACCGGACGACCACCATGCGCATCGCCGGACGTCTTCGACATCCACATCCACATCATCACTGGCGAAACCGGACGCGGAACACCTCGGCGAGGCTGCTCTACCTGTCAAATGCACTATCCACTTTAACCGTCTACTGACACCCTTCAACAAATGGGAGGCGTATCCCGTCTTCACTGCCCGTTTACAAGGCGTTGAAGAGTACTTCAAGGACCCCAATCCTCCCGCCTCGGACCCCACTCCACCATCAAAGCCGTCTAAAGCAAAGCACGTATTCGAGCGTTTGTTTCGCTGTCATAAACCCTCTACACATCCATTGGCGACATTACCACCGTTGCTAGTCCAACATACGAACCCCAAACCTGTGCAAATACAACAGCTCTTCTCGCATACCCCTCAAGGCGCCGTCGGCCGTGCAGCGGTGCGCAAAGCCCATAGAGCTTTATTTGGACACGGGCTGTTTGGAAGATTCAAGCGCAAAACCGTTGTCAGACTTTCGAGCGGTGATGAATTCTGCGAGGTTTTACAACACCATGGAGGCGAAATCAAGACATTTGAAGCGGAGGAGCAATCTACCAAAGACCGTCGAAAGCACTATGCTTCTCGTCGTAGCCAGGAATTCACATTTACGCTTCTCGGCCCGTCCAAACCCGGTCACCGTGCCATACTGCATTTCTCACCGGCATCTACACCGATTCAAGGGTTGGCGTCCAAACACGCCATCCACTCAAAATGTGCGCCGTTTGTAGTGTATTCGGGCACGTTTCGGTTGGAAGAGAGGAGTGGACAGGTGTGGGTTGTGATGGATAATGATTCTGGGACGTATGCACCTCGAGTCGATCGTGGCGAGTTGGATAGATTGAAGAGTTTGATGGAATGGAATTTCAAGGGGATGAAGTGCGAGACGCGCGAGTTTGTACCGCCAGGAATGGATGGCGAGGATCAGGAGGGCCAAGCAAAGGGAAACGACAAGAACGATGGGCCGGAGAGTCAAGGACAAGTAAAGGAATCAAATCGTGTGTGATGGGTTTTTTTCGATCAGAAGTGGGACCTGTGTGTATATGTGTACATATGTTGTGTTGGAAATGCATTCCCTTGTCAGTGCTCTTCGTTCCGATCGTTTGGCAGAGAATGTAGATTCATCCCCTCTGGCGCCCTTCACATAACGGGAAAGACGCACATCAAAGGGGAAAATCCTGCGCTTTTCGCCCACTTGTCTGCTTCCATCATCACATGGCTAAAAAAGTGGTGGGAAGTAAACACGGTGGGCGGTTTCTTTGGTCGGTCAAACGGTCGCCTGGTTCAGTAAATGGCACTCATGAGCTCCGTTTAGTGAACCAGGCGAGCTCTGTGTGCGTAATGAATAGCAGTTGGATGTTCAAGTCTTTTGGTGAACGAACGGCTTGAATTGAAAGATCTGTCAAAATTTAAATCCAAAGTCTGTTGCCATGCCAACACATCCATGACAAGCCACAAGCCGCAGCGCGCACAGCGCCCAACGCGGACGCAACTTTCCAGATGAAATGTTTAATAGTAACGAACCTCGTCGTTCAGTCAATCCAACCAGTGTGGTTGCTTGTATATGTATTCGAATGTGAACTGCAGTCAAAGAGCGTCCTACCAAACATACAAGCATTCATTGTCCGAATTCACTAACGCTAACGCCTACTCGTCGTCCTCGTCACCATAATACCTAGGGTTATCACTAGGAGCGGTATAGTGGCCATTGCCCGACGGGTCCGAGTAATAGGTTGATCCATTGGTGTTCTGGTAATAGTACGATCCATCACTGTTCGAGTAATGGTAGGCACCGCCTATACAACGGAGTCAATATGCATAAAGAGAGCATCATGCTCAACATGGTGAAATTGACGCGAACCGGAAGCTTCACTGGGACCGCGAGTGCAGTAGTGGTTCCCGGAAGCGTTGGTGCCGCTTGATTCCGCTTGACTGGGGGTGGGCGTAAAGTTGCCCTTGTTGCTGGACTCTTGAGACATACTTGCTTGATTGATTGGTGGAGGTTACGAGAGATCTGAGTGGGCTGCGACTTTGGTATGTCTGGGCGAATCTAAGCTTATAAGACAGGAAGGAAGCTGCCACAGCGCGAGCGGGTTTTTTTACTGTCCCGCAACCAAGGTCACATGCGGTGAATCATCTTGTGAAATTCGGGAAGGTTCTTGTGGTGTCTTTTTAACAGTCATTAGTGACATGAATACCTGTCCGGAGCTGGGGACAGAACTGGAGAGACGGCGGCTGCGGCTTTTGCCGTGGTGCGTGTTTGAACAGCTCGCTAAGCCGCCAGTGCACTGCCATGAGATCCAACCAGCGTATTGATTTGTGTAGCACCTCCTCCCTGTGCAAAAACCACACCGACCCACAATACCCAACGCGCATCACTTGAGCTCAAGGAAAAACACAAAAAGATATGGGCTCCGCCGGGGCTTGAACCCGGGACCTCTCGCACCCAAAGCGAGAATCGTACCACTAGACCACGGAGCGATTGGTGATAGAATGGAATGCCATGCGCGCTCGCATACGTACCACTAGACCGTCAAGTCTTCGTAGGTAACATCCTTCCCCACCATAACAACAAGCGTGCCATCAGCAACTAGTTGTGTCCGTGGGATCGCTTGACGTATGACGTAGTCCTTGTAGTTATTGTACAAAGGCATGTAACCCATCAAAACGGGATGCCTGCTCATGAACTCGAAGACCGTTTGAAAGTACTCCGTAAAGATTAGATAGAATCAGGCAGATGGAAAGAAGAGCGGCTGGATTGTCCAAGTTAATCAAGATATGATTTGGCCAGGAAATTTCGTCTTTGCTAGCTTCAATTTTTTAAAGGCGCTAGTCTCTTGCTGTACGATTCCCTGGCGGTGCGAACAAAGAGCAGACCTTCCCGACTGACGAAGCAGGTAGTGCGCACATTATCCATCCACATCGACTATGTATGGGAGGGTGCAAATGTGTAGACAAGCTTAATATTTTGCAAAAACTATTCGGTCGCTGTGACAACTCTTTGCGAAGACATTCGCATGTAATGATTGTTGTTCAATGTGCATACGAGTCCCACTGCTTGCCAATTGTTGAATATGCATGCCAGTCTTTGTGCTCACCATGGCGCCATGCAGTCAGTTGTTGAATGTGCATACGAGTCCCGCTGCTTGCCTTACCTTGCTAGTAGCAATGGTCGGTACATATACACAGTGCTGGAAGCCTGGGGTTAACTGGAGTGCGAGTGAAACTCTTAGCTGTATTTAGGTATTTTGTTTGTGTCCAAATGTCTGCTCAACCTATGGCTCGCGTGTACGTAAGCATTCATGTTGGCGGGCAACCCACGCGGAAGGTGCTGGTCAACATACAGATGTTCATTTATTTCACGCGGAAGGTAAAAGCACTGGCCGCTGTGTGAGTTTGCACTTAAATGCTCTCGAAGCATACATGCTCTGAACTGGGTGGTTAAAGGTCCGGATGTCTACTGCGGGAAACAAGTTGCTCGGGCTCCACGTCGGAATCATCTTCGACGGTTCGTTGATGTAGGGTGTCGCGCGATCCTGGTGGCGAGATTACTGGAGGTGGGTACTGGCTTTGAACAGCCTGATCGAGAAAAGGAAGCACCAATTCTCGCAACGTGCCATACATCTTGGATGCAGATGGTCGGTTAGACGATTTTTCCTCTAGACAGGATACGATCAGATTCGATATGCGTTTTGTGGTCTGTTTGCGGTCTTTGGTCATCCAACGCAGGAAACCGACCACGGATGGCAGGTGCGTTGCAAATGCAGTATCTCTTCCAAAGGAGAAGTCGTCATTGTCACGGAATCGCACTTGGCGCTGCTGATGGCGGTCCTTTTTTACTATCTCGTCGTCAATAAAGCGAACGTCGTCTCGTCGCCACTTTCGGAAATCCGTGATCTTAACGTCGCACACGATACATAGCAATTCTGCCAAAACGCAACCCAAAGAGAAAACATCACTCCTGCGGTTCGTCAGACCCGCACTGCTTCGCTGTTCAGGAGAAGCATATTCCAGTGTCCCTGACGCGCAGTGTGCGGTCGTACCGTCTGCACAGATCCTTGCTATCCCGAAGTCTGCAAAGATGATCTTTTTGGTGTTTGGGTCAATCAGAATGTTGGCCGGCTTGATGTCATGGTGGATGATTGGAGCATCTTGGGTATGAAAGCAAGACAAACCGTGGGCCGATTGTAACATCCATTCAAGCAACTGGGTTGCTTTCAGGGCGTCGTCCAAGGCCGCAAACCATGGGATACCCAATTCTCCTCGCTGCAAATCCACCAAGGAATGGTCGCACCACGGTGCAAAGTACATCTCTAGTTGTGGTCGGCCCTTCCTGTTACGGCGTTCGACTGTCCCGAGCAACTGGCATGTATATGGCAACGATCGAACGGCGCGGTAGACCTCAATCTCCTTGTTCACAACGGGAATCCCGGTTGGGGTGTACTCGACGTTGTGAAACCGCTTCTTGGCAACCCACGCTTCACCGTCCGTTACTGCCTCAACTGTTCCTTCGCCCCCACTGCGAAGGCGAGACTCCTTGACATTGTTGGGTGTGCGCCATTTGACAGAGTCCTTAGCCTTTAAAGGAACAATGTCGTCGGGGTTAAGCTCAACGACAGGCATTGCAAGACAAAATCAAACAGGAAAGGACCGGGAAATGAAGACGACTATTTAATTAATACTATGACACGAACGAAGAATGGACAGTTTCACTGTGTCAGGAGGCCAGAAACAAAAGTGGCAGAATTTTGTGTGTATTTATTTATAGAACCTATTTTTTGGCGTACGCCATCTGCACAGAGGTTATTTTGAGACTTGGCGACCACAAGCGCCTCAGAATACACTCTGCGGATGGCTACGTAGTACTGAAACCCATATATACACTGCGGGCCATCTGATGTAAGTGGGGAAAACTCAAGATTTTATAAGTCGATTGTCGGTGAACTGAACAGCTGATGAAAGGTATCATAACGCATAGCAGGTCGCACGTACATATTATAGCATCATTCTATTGGGTCGGTATATCATCAATACTACCTGCTCTACGCTGCTCTACGCTGCTCTGTCCGCTCTACCTGCTCTGAAACCTACTTCCCCGTTGCGACTTACCGTCATTCGGTAGCTTGCCTCTGAAAACATCGCCTTGTGCGTCGCCTGGGAAAGGAAACATCGTAAATATCGTCGTGAACTCTTCCCAAAAACCGCTGTTCTGTTGCTCCGTTTCGACCCCCCGCAGAGCAGAACGCTTACCGGGAATGGTGCCGCACGTTGGAATGCGCAGACCGTGGGCCGCATCGATCGAGCAGTCGAATTCCTTGCACATGCATCCTCTGGGAAAAAGGCTCGTCGACGTTGAAGCACCGTGGAATTCCACCGGGCGTGGAACTCACATGCTGCTGCTGCTGCTAGTGTCGGCCATGTTGCGGATGCCGCATGCGAAAAGGAGTTGTAAAAAGCAGTGTTGCGTGGAGCGCTACTGAACAAGTAAGTTAACGTCGGCAAGCTAATTTGCTAAGTCTCTCAAAGGCAAATCGGTGGTGGCAAATCAATCTCTATTACGTAACGATGTCCTCTCAATAGCATATATCGGTCAACCTTCGGTGACTTTCGGTGACTGTCGGCGACTGTCGGTAAACTGCCACTTGGCGTCGGTGACTGAGAAAGCCATAGCACATTCACCGCTGACTGCCAATTGACCGAAGGTTGACTGATTGACTGTAAGTTGACTGATAATCCACTTATTTCAGCGCCGTCGGTTAACTGTCGGTTGACCGGGATTTTCCATGGTGCTATGGGCAAATCGGTGAAATTTCGGTGGATTATCGGTCATCGACAAGTTTACTGTCAGTTGACTTACATTTATTTGCCCGCAGTGTATAGCATAGGGAGCTGAATTTTATTTTCACTTCGTATGTAATGCGGGGATCATACTGTTATTTCCCTCATAGTTCATCTTATATATTGCTGTATTGCTACATGTACACTGCATCCCCACTAGTACATGAGCTAGATGATCAAATGATCCAAGAGTAACTTTTCGGCTATGTATGTGGGGGGGGGGGGGGGGGCAGATGCATGGACAAGCTTAATATTTTGCAAGACTATTCGGTCGCTGCGATCACTCCTTGCGAAGACATGAGCATGTAGTGAGTGCCCTTTGATTTTATGTTACTGTTTAGTCATGTAGGATCAAACTTTCCCAAGCCATTGGGCTTATCTAAATATATTATTCATAGGGATCGGAATCAGAGTCACAGTCTCCTAATGATACGTTTTCGAGCGGCTGCTGTATCATAACAGCATTACTACACGGCCTCTTCCAGGAGAATGGTATCATTGCCGTCTGATGCAGGAACCTCGCTTTGAGCTGGGTAGACTGGCATCAACGTACATATCCATGAAAGGTGATTCGAGGACAATGACCAAAGTCCAAGAATCCGTGTTCCAACCATCTTCCTTGAACGCCGGTTGAACGTCGTAGTGACCTCAAACGAGGAAAGTTCGTTTTTTTTTTTCAAGGGTCCGTGTAGTGGGTACCAAGAATAATGGATTGCAAGTCCAGAGTTTGGCCTTCCACGGGTTGGTTGCCCGGGTTGTGAGTCGATGCTTGGGCGTTTGAACAGGTGAGTTCGGCGACTAGCCACTAGGGTCGTCGTTCAGTCGTTTTGGAATGCGAAAGAAAGGAACGGCCGTATGAAAAGCGCAAAACAAGTCTTCCCCTCTTGCGAATTTATTCATTTCTGTTAAACTCCTTTAAACTGTCCAATATGGTAACCGTATTTGAGCGTCGTTGAGCTTACAAGCAAAATTAAAGTGTTAAAAACGCGTCGTCCGGAAGTTTCTGTCAGATCGGACAACGGGCCCGGGCGGCCACACTACTACCTACATCAGCGTCGGCTACCACAAGTCTTCATCATGAGATAGCAACGATGGAGTTGAAGTTGGTGAGTCTGCGTGTGTAGAACACTCTTTCTCTGAACGCGCTGGGCCCTATCCCTCGGGTCTTTCGACCGTAAATGGTCGGCACCCCCCATTGGAATGTTTGGTTTGTGGAGGGAGTGAGTTCACCTCTGGCGCCCATTTACTGGACTAGAGTGTCAGTCTCATCCTCTGCAGACCAGAGTCCCCCCCTCCTGTGTGAACCTATCCCTTGGGTCTTTCGTCCGTTACCGGTCGGCACCCCCCATTGGAGTGCTTGGTTTGTGGAGGGAGTGAGTTCACCTCTGGCGCCCATTTACTGGACTAGAGTGTCAGTCTCATCCTCTGCAGACCAGTTTCGCACAAGGCATCCAGAGGAAGAGTGTTCGTTTGCCTTTTTACACCCAACCCGATGCTAACGGGCCGACCCATTTTTTTATGTCCTGCTTATCTTGTAGGATAAAGCGGTTGAAAACTTCTTCTCTCGTTTTCCCCTCAAGGAGTGGACTGTGCGAAAGTGGTTGCAGTTTTTGATTGCCGAGGGTTACAAATGCAACAAGAAA